CATAACATGTTCATATTCTTGATGAATGTCACGTTTCGACGTTTCGTGTTATGGGTGGTTCATTGATTCCTAATCCATCTTAGGTTCCTAATAGAACCAACCCTAATATATATGGTTGGGTTCAGAGGAAAAAAACACAAAAAGGAAAAACTTAATAACACCCAAATAACCCATTCAACCAGTTTCTTTTACATTTCTTTATGGTTTTAAAAACTAGGAGTAAAGATCCATAGCTAGTGTAGACACGACCTCGAAAGGTAGAGGGTAGGGGTAAGGCTTAGTGAACCACTTTACCAAAGGGTTATACAAGACTTAGTAACTTTTACTAAATGTTTACTCGGTAAGCCATTATCAATATCACTTACCTTTCCAATTGAGCATAACAAAAATAAAAAATCTTACCTGGTAAAAGGCATAATAAGGATCAAGAGTTTTTTTTTTTTTTTTTTGAAGTATATAATATTTATATACGGCAAATAGAACAATAAACTCACACACCCTCCTCACCTTTGGTGAGGTTTGAACCCTTGACCTCATAGAAGGTCAAGAACTCACATACCGCTAGGCCAAAGGCCCTTTGGTAAGGACGAGTGTCTTATCAAACTAACAATCCACTTTGATCGCCGGGATGTTACATGATTAGGTAAGAAAGGATAATTTATCTTGCTGATTAAAACATTTGGTAAACGACCCTTTTTTGTTTGCGTTTTGTTATTTACATCCAACTCCATGCTCTTCTTTTCTAACCTCGGAAATTTCATCCAGTATAAATGAAAAAACGACTTCTCAAACATGCATATGCATACACCATGAATCAAATCCTCTGAATGGAATCAAGCCGATTTAAAACTATGAAACATGTCCTAGTACATGTTACAACGACGCTAGCGTTACATGAACACATCAATCTACAAGCTCTCCTTTGTCGTTGGCACTTTCAAGTCTTCGGGTTCCTGCTCAGTTGCAACTGTAGACTCCCCTAGTGACTCGGGTTCCTTTTTTAACTCTGTTTCAAATTCTTTTGCCGCCTGCACAAATTTTATTAAATTCATGGCTGGTCAAATACGCATTCATAGAAATTAGAGTAAAGTACGATTTTCGTCCCTGATTTCGAAATCCCAGTTTTCATCCCGAAGGCTAACTCCCTTGGTGGTTACCATTCAGTATCAGGGACGAAAACAACAATGAATTCTAAATCACAAAGACCCCAGTTTTCATCCCGAAGGCTAACTCCCCTGGTGGTTACCATTCAGTATCAGGGACGAAAACAACAATGAATTCTAAATCACAAAGACCAAAAAACAAAATGAATTGTAAATCATAAGGATCAAAATCGTAAATTGACAAGGGAAGGGACAAAAATAGTTTTTCAACAAACCACAGCGACGGACAATGTAGTTTACTCTCTAAATTAAATCGTAAAGGCTACCCAATTTCCCAGAGGGGATGTACAAGTTACATTGCATAACGTATACATCCTTACTGCAAATCACTCTACAAGACTTCAAATCTAGCACCTTACTCTTCCATTTAAATTTTAAAAGGAAACAGAAGTACATTGGGAAAAATGTTGGTACTGCTGCACAAATATATCATCAGAAATGACTTGACAAACTTTTGTTTTTCCGTAACACTGGGTGTCTGGATCAGCTCGCACGGATCTCGACTAATCCTATCTGAACTGAAGATGAACAATGTGCCCTTGAAGAGACTCAAACCGACAATCTACGGAATGATGGCAGGAGCCTCAACGGCCGGCCTAGCTTTTGTTCGTCAATTGCCAAAGAATAACTCGTATAGTCAATGGTGGCTAAAAGCTATACGGAGCTACTAACTTCCTCTTCCAGGTGATTATCAGAAACCCTGGATACCATTCTTCATGGTAATAGCTAAACACACAGCCATTTGACAATTTCAGGGCCAATAACGGCTTAGCAGCAAAAACTAACAAGACATTCCAGTTGCACCAAGATTCCTCGACGGTGTGAGTGATTAAGAGAATGCAAAGTCTTCCTTCTGCACTATTTGAGTAAGACCTAGGGCCTGTTTACTTGCATCTTCATACCTCTTAGGGGCTGTTTGGTTGGTTTTTCATTAAAAGCCTGTTTGTTAGCAGCTTAATGGAACTCTCAGCTTATTCCGTCAGCTATACATGATTCTTCGCTAGTGGCTTAATGATATAGAAAGTGGCTTATTACTGACTTATAGGGGGGAGCTTTATGCGGACGCCAAATTTTTTCCAAACCTGCCTCTCCCAATTAAAAAGCACGCTCCTTCCATCTATGGAAAAAAACCAAACAGTAACCATCCTGATCTATACGAACAACATTAGCCATGCAGGATTTAATGGAAAACCAACCAAACAATCCCTGAAGTCTTATATGAACTTAGGAAGCCTCGTAAATACACCTAGCCTCAGACTTTAAAAAAGCCCAAGATCTTGATCCTCAAAGCCTAGGCGCACTTTTAACAACTATACCCTCGCCCCAACAAGCATCTAGTCACAAAATTTCAAAACTATATAAACAACTTGTTTGCATGCAGTATTGTTTCTGAACTCAAATTAGCAATAATTAACCTACTAAATGGCTCCTTGGCTTTGCAAGGGTTGGGAGTGGAATTGTTTTTGAACTCAAACTCATGATATTTCACTCATAAAGAACTTCAACCCTGGCTTCAGATCTCACCACTCACATTATGCATAAAGAAACACAGCGAAACCTTTCCATTGTAACCTAATCCCACTTAAGTGGTACCATTCTAGCTTCTTCCGTAACTTTGTGATGGACAAAATGGTTGTCGATACAAAACAATCCACAACTCAAATTGTATGCTCTTATTCGATTCATGATGTAAATTATGTGATCTTTAGCAACTATAATGGGTGTAGTATCTGAATCGCCCTTGTATCTATATATCTATACTACCTTATAAACCAGATTTATCAAAAGTCTTAAAAACAATTTTTAATGCTCAAAGTACTATACATTTATGCACAAAGTCTTAAAAACAACTCATAATGCATTAAGTACTACTACTTTATGCATTCAATCTTAAAATCTCTTAATCTACAATTAAAATAACATATAGTACAAGTTACCAATGCACATTATTACCTTTTCTTTTCATGTTCCCACGATACTTTTGACACCTTTCACTCATGCCTTCACCCTCTCATAACTCTATGTCTTCTCCCCATCCCCCAAGGTGAGATTCAAATTGATATTCACCATGAGTTATTAAAAGTTCTCCCATTTAATTGCTCTAGAACTCTCGGGCTCGCTCTCGATCTCTTGATTCTTTGCTCTTGGTGTAAATCGAACACATTTACGGAGTAGTTTAAATATGTTGGATTTTGAATATATTGAATTTTAAACTGTCATACAATTTTTTTCATCGATAGACTCTAATTGGAACCATAACTCTTATTTATTCAAATTGTATTAATATGTAAAGACCAAGTATAACTTATATCATCGTTAAATATTCTCTAATAAAACCAACGAAACTTTAAAATAGTTAAAATTCATGGGTCCCGCCGCATTGCGCGGGTACACAACTAGTATATATATATCCATAGGTTCATTTGAGAAATGGCAAGTATTTGAGAACTAGAGAAGTGATCATAGCCTTTCATCTGGTCAAAATTTGCGGCTTTCACTGTAAAGCACCAGATAATTCCTCATATGGTATGCGGAAGATAGAGGGGTAGTTTCGTAACTTTTACAAATAGACGGCAAAACAAGTGCATGTGTGAACCCATGTGATTCACATATGAGCTATATGTTCATATATGAACCAGCGTAATTCACATATGAACTATTTAACAGATTCATATATGAACCCGTATGATTCACAAATTAACTAATTAACTGATTCATATATGAACCTGTTTCATTCACATATAAACTAATTAACTGATTTACATATGAACCCGTACAATTTACATATGAACTAATTAACTTATTCACATATGAATGTATACACTTGTTTGACGCTTATTTATGAAAGTCATGACACTACCCCTCTATTTTTCGCTTGACCAATCAAAGACCCAATTCTTGACAATCTTGACCATGAAGGGCTAAAATCACTTATTTACTTATCAAATACACACACGCATACACGTACACACACACACACACATATATATATATATATATATATATATATATATCCTTAGATTACAATAACTATATTGTTTTCTGGATTTCTGTATGGAGTTTACTGATCCAAAACGTATTCCTAAAAGTGGTATAATGATTCCATTTCATTCACGAATTGAAAACTACTATTGTAACTAAGGGTAAAACACAATTACTTCACCAATTTTACATCCCCAACATCCCATATTTACAAAAAAAAACAAATTGAAAAATAGAAGCATTTGATCTTCAATGAGATTCAAATATGCCGATAATTCATCATCAAATTCTGGCAAGTGGTTTATGAATGTCAATTATCACAAAATTGACATGAAATTGAAGCTTAAATAAGTAATGAATTTGGAAAATAAATATCGATGATAGAGTAAGGGCGACCTGCTGGAAGCTCTTGACGGTTTTCCCAATGCTACGGCCAACCTCCGGCAGCTTTTTGGGACCGAAAACGAGAGCGGCGACGCCAGCAATAACCACTAGCTCCGGCATACCAAGTCCAAACAAGCAGTTACAAGATAAGCCCCTTTTCTTGGTGTTAAGCAGACTGGATCTGTTTCCATAGGCGATGGTCGAGGGTTTGAGGGTGTTGGTGAAGAAGGAGGAACTGGAGGAAGAAAAGGATAAGGTTTTTGCAGATAATGAAGTGGGTTTTGAAATGGACGGCGTGTATGGCATGGTGAGAGTTGGGGCGGCGTAGGAAATCGCCATTTCCGTCTGGTTTTGGCCGTCGGTGGTGGTGGATCTTTTATGGTGGTGGTGTGGTTTAATCGCTTTATTGGATAAATATGAAATTTCTGAAGATTTCTTTGTGGGTGACTAGGACCAATTCATTATCTCTCCTTATTTTTGTTCATACGTTACATACATGATTTATTTCATCGACCAATTATTAACAAATCATTATGTTCATTAATATATATATATATATATATATATATATATATATATATATATATATACACATATATAGATATATATAGAGAGAGTTTGTTTCGAATACAATTATGATTTAAATAATTATAGAAGATGAATATGATTTATCAATTATGATCAATATTTTATATTAGGAAACAATCAAAACTTCTATGAAATCACATATTAATCAAATGAAATGAACGGTTGAGATTAGGTTGTATTGGTTGCACAAATGTCAATGGTTGTATAATAACCAACCCATATATATATATATATATGTATATGTGGCTCATTCAAAGAACAATTGACTAATTTGTAGTAATCGTGAGATCCAATTTCAACCACAAATCAATAGACAATGAAATTTACAATTATGATAATTTTGAATTAAAATTTTAATATGAGGATATTTTAGGTATTTTCTCTCATCTCTCCTCTCTTCTATCTTCGTCCCCCGTCCTCCGGCCACCTTCCTCCGCCCACTGTCCTCTGATGATACCACTGTGATACCTAAAAATATTGACTATGTTAAACAAAAGACAAAATGTGATACCCAAGCACATATAAAATGCATTGTGATATGACTGTGTTACATCTTCGATCGATCACACAAACGACCTCAGTATGATATCTAAGCACATATAAGATGCATTGTGATACCACTGTGGTATTACCTGAGGATGGTGGTCGGAGGCCGGAGGACGGATAGAGAAGAGAGGAGAGATAAGAGTTAAAATATTTAAAATGTCCTTGCATTGAAATTTTAATTCAAAATTACCAAAACTATAAATTTCCTAATTTATCTATTGATTTATGGTTGAGATTGAACCTCACGGTTACCATAAACTAATTAGTTCTTATTTAATTAAGCTCTCACACACACACACACACACACACACACATATATATATGGTTGGGTTCACTTGAGACCAAGGGTTTTTCATGAGACCCGTGAGATCAACTTTATAAGCTAACGATCTAATGGTCTAAATTGCACGGTGGCAATATTGTAATTATTGAGAAATCTCGTGGCAATTTTGTGATTATGAATATTGAAATTATAGATCTAATCCAAGGGTTGAGAATTGGTCTTACGGGTCTCACGAAAAAGCTTTGGTCTCATATGATCTCAAGTATATATATATATATATATATATATGTTACTCATCTTTTTATTCACCCTTTATAATAAAATGATATTTTCAATAAAATTATGATATATTATGAGTCTAAGGTCGCGCTTGGTTCCCAAAATGAAATTTGTTAGAATTGAAATCTATCAAAAAAAATTAGAATCTAGAAAAAATTGTAATGTAATTTAATTAGATTTGACCATTCCTTTGATTGACAGAATTTGAAATAAAATCTATCAACTTTTTTTGAATATGTATGTTTTGTTCATTGAATATAATATTGTGTGGTGAGGTGGAGGCGGTAGTGGTGTGGAGGGTAGTGGCAGTGTTGATGACGGTGGCAGATGTGGTGATAACGGTGGTGGTAGTAATGATGGCGATAGTCGTGGTGATGGTGGAGATGAAAGAGACGTTGGTGGTGGGTGAAGGCAACAGTGGTAAGAGCGGTGGTGGCGGCGACGACGACGATAGCGGTTATGACAACCGTTGTGGTGGATGGAATAAAATTGAGTAAATATAAGAGTATAATAGTTTTTCTAAATATATGTGATGAAGGAATTTGAATTCGTTGTTAGAATTCTAGGAATCTACATTTCACCATACGTGGAATTCAAATTACTTATCAAACTTATAATGATCCAAAAGTAGAAATGAAATTTGGTCACTGGAATTGACTATTCCAATTCCTTTATGTTTTGTTGGATTTTAATGATCCATATATGACTTAAATGCATACATAAATAACAATGGTTAATATTCAAGGCACTAAACTCATTTTTTGGATAAAGTATCATCCACAACTCAAGAAAATTAGGTTAAACCAAATATTCAGTGCACATTGCCAAAAAGAAATAAGATATCAAGTTTTGGCATAATTAGAGCTTATAAATATAAATGTGAACTTACTTCATAGGTTTTACTGAAAACCTAGAAATTTTAGTCTAACCCTAGCTTGGAAGAGGAGATATTGAATCTTGAAATCTTTTACTAATACTCTAGAATTCTTGAGTTTTTAATGCTTGGCAAGACCTTGAGATTTTCCCTCTCTGAGTTATCTACCTGGTATAAATGAGGAGAAATGGTGGGTGTTTTGGTGAAAATTTCCTAACCATGACCGTCGAGGATAACTTCTATGACCAAGATATCCGTGACCAGGATATATGTGACCACATTATCTACGACCACAGGGACCTTGACTGTAACACCCTCATTTTCATTCAAGAGAAATGTTACGTAATCTGAAACCTTTTCCTTCCTAAATGCACCAAAAAAGACGGCTAATTTAAAACCAT